GAAGCTGAGAATTATTACCACGTGGTTCTGAAGTGAGTCCGGGATGCTCTCCGTCAGCTGCACAGGCGCCCACGCCACAGTCCCAGGCGGGGCCTCTGGGGATGGGCGGCGCTGCAGGGCTAAGCCTTTGTTTTGCTTGGGGCCCCGGCTCCTCTGTAAAGTGGGAAAGCTTGGAGGTGGGAGCGGGGCCAGCACGCCTGGCACCAAGGTGGTGCTCAGAGCAGGCACAGGGTTGCTGGGCGGAGAAGCTCATCGCAACGTGGAATGACCACACATCAGCTGGCCCTGACCCCCACCCAGCCCGCAGCTACTCCCGTCACTCACGTCACAGACCTGAGTCCCACCCACGTGAAGATCTGGACAGACTCCCAGGTCTAAAGGGGGAAGCGGAAGGGGGACCGTGAGCAGTTTTCAGTGCATCACAAGAAACCAGTGACCCAGAAGTCTTGCAAAAAAAAAAAAAAAAAAAAAAAAAAAAAAAAAAAAATACGCAAAAAAAAAAAAAAAAAAAAAAAAACCCAAAAGGAAAGAAAACCTGATGATGCTGCTTAAATCAGATTTGAAGTCAAGGATTTTGAAAAGTTAAGCCACAAACTCAGTGTGTGACTCATTCTTTAAGAGCACACGGCAATGATAACCTGTATTCTTGTTTTTCAAGTCTACAGCCCTTGGTATTCCCAGGCAGCCTCCAATCCAAGTCCTAACCAGGCCCTGCTTGTCTGCCAAGATCAGAGACTCTGGATGTGTTCAGGGTAGTATGGCCATAGATGATTACCGAAGTTTCTTGAATATGAAACTTTAAATAACTTTTAGTTTCTTTTTCTAGAGTAAATTCCCAGCAAACTTTTTTTTGAGACATAGTCTTGCTCTGTTACCCAGGCTGGAGTGCAGTGCCATGATCTTGGCTCACTACAACCTATGCTTTCCAGGCTCAAGCGATTCTCATGTCTCAGCCTCCCAAGTGGCTCGTTCTACAGGCGTGCATCACTGCACCTGGCTCATTTTTGCATTTTTAGTAGAGAGGGGTTTCACTCTGCTGGCTAGACTGGTCTGGAGCTCCCTGGCCTCAGTGATCCGCCCACCTCGGCCTCCCAAAGCGCATGAGCCACTGTGCCTGGTAGACGTTTCCCTTCTAGAACACCTGCTGTCTAAGTGGTTCTTACTTGGCCTTTTCCAGTCTTCTGCATTTGGGACAGACGTAGATTAGCAAAGTGAGGACAGCTCCCGGTTTGGCTGGTTGCTGGTGGGGGTCTAATTTCTGAATGCTGGACTCAGGGCAGGCATGGCTGGGGAGAGGCAGGCAGGGGCAGGCAGGAGACTGGGGAGGGGGGATCTGAAGACCCCAGGGATCTTCAGCGCACGAGTGTGCATGTTGTGAGCGCACACACGGAGGGAGCCGTGTGAGGGGAAGGCTGGGGGGGCTTTGGACTGGGCCAGTTACAGGGGCCCAGTGACGTCAATGATGGATACTGTCCCCCGCTTTGGGACAGGCTGAAGACAGACTGAAGACTTCTCAAATGTTAGTAACGATACCCTCACTCTGGTCAGAGTGAAAACTGCACACAAGAAGCCTCAGTGAGACTGGTGGGAATGGCATGCCACCAAATGGCAGCCAGCTGCCAGGGGCCGTCATGCCAACGTTTATCCCGAAGCCTTTTCTTGAGACAGCTGAGGAAGGAGCATTGGCAGGGCAGTCTGCAGCTGGAGCAGTCACAGGGTTTCCAAGCACGACAAGCAGACACCTGCGCCCTGCACGCGCAGCCAGGCCCCAACCGGGGTTCTGCCGTCAGCCCTTCCTGGAAAAGCTCTGCAGGCTTCTGGAAACATCCAGACGACTCTGGAGGACCCAGCTGTGGTCCCTGCCATGGCGCCGCTGGCACGCCCACGGCTGGTATGCAGCACCATGGCTGCTTTTACCCCAGAAACGAGCAGCAGACTCCCCGGGCGCCTTCCTCACAGCTGCCACCACGCTGAAGCAGGGCACTTTCCAACCAAAGCCACCACAGCAACTGTTAATGTCACCAAGGTTCCCACTGCCAAGAGCAACAAGAAAATCTGTGCTCCTTGAACGGACGCCAGAAAGTCTTTCACAACTTAGTCCAGAAAGGGGCCTAAAACCAGCAAGCGAATCTGAGGGCGCCCAGGCTGACAGCCGTGCCACCAAAACAGTGCCGTGTGTCCGGGCACAGGTGAGGGATCTTTCCAGAAGCTGAGAATTATTACCACGTGGTTCTGAAGTAATGCATTTCATTAAGTGTTTTGTGAAGGACATAAAGCCCCCTGGGACACACAAGAATGCCTTCGTTGGGTCTGGAATCGCCTCCCACAAACAAACGGAGAAACAGTCAAAGGCGGCCTAAGACCTGGGAAATCAGGAGCAGTGGCCTACATACAAAATCAGGGCCAAAACCTTTTACTTTCTATTTGAATTTACAACTATATACAGACAATATGGTAAGATTTTAGAGAAAACAGATCATCACTATGAATATCCATATTCTGATTTCTTTTGAGAACCAAGATGCCTTTTAAAATGCTGCTGCTTAGAAGAGCATGTGTTGTCTGTCTGGTGTCTAGGTCTTGTCTGCTACAAAACAAACGAAGACACCCTGTGTAACAAAATCAGATTTTAACATTTAAATCTTGATTCCAATATTCCTCACCTATGTCGTCATATGAAAGAAATAAGCCTTTTTTTTTTAAACAAAGTTTCAATTCAGAATTTTTACAAACAAAAACAATCTTGTATCTACTTACTATCACTATATTCTCAAAAAGCAAGTTCAGGAAATTTAAAAATGATTTTTATAAAAGGCACTGAAATTAGCAAAAGCATTGGTGGGTTTTCATTTTGGATGAAACACAGGAAATGTTCACAGAGTAACAACTGTGTGAGCAGGTGCCCGTAACACCCAGGAAGAAACCGACCTCCAGTTAGTACCTCCTGAGCACCTAGGCAGCTCCTCACACATTCTGACCACAGACCTTCATTCAAGCCAAGGTGAAGGCTACAATCAACACGGCAAGGAACCCAAATGGGACTTAAACCTCTGAACGCAACACTCTTTATAAAGGAGATCCCCACTGAAATGAGCCAAAATAAAGGATAACTTTATCGTATAATCATTTACGCTCAAAAAAGCCTCAGAATAAACTTCAAAACAGAACAATTTACAGATTGTATTACTGCTACACTGGCACCTGAACGAAGTAGGCAGTGAAGGCTCGCGTGCTGAGGAAACAGGGAACACCTTGGCTCCACTGCTGCTGAGCTCTGCGTGGCTCCTGGCACCGCTCCTATGGGCTGCAAGACTTCCCACAGAGAAAAGCTACTTTTATCTTCCGATCAGTGATTTAAATAGTCCGAACAACCCAAATTATAACAGTTGCTGCGAGTCTGAGGCGCACTCCGGGCTCCCTGATCCCAGCCGTCCACCTCACTCTGTCTGAACCATGAGACCCACAGGCGAACTAACAGGGACTCTGCCAGCATCATGCCACCCCCTGCCCCAGCCCAGGAAAAGACAAGGCGGCAAACAGTTCATCTTGGTGAGCGCAGGCAGCGCGGGGACATCAGTGCTCACGCCTCCGCCAAGTCCCTCCTTGTCCACAGCGTTTGTTGGATGCTGTGGTGAGTACCTGGGCTGCCTGCCTGCAACTGCCTCAGCACCCTTTCCTCTGCTACATTTCAGACCTAGAAATTGCCACCTAAAAAGTCCACCACTACCACATGGACATTTTCCAGAAAATTGGTATCTGAGTTTGCTTTCATTAACTTCTAACTTCCAAAATATCAGAAATCTAAGTTTTATATAAAACATTTAAATCTTCTAAAATTCTCACACCCTCAAAGTGAGGATTAATAATAATTTAATCAGAATATATTCCTTTGTGACAGTTTAGCAACAAACATATGACCCTTCCTTCTTTAAAACTGAAGAACCAACCGAGAGCCCAGCGCTAAGCCTACAGGGCGGCAAGCTCAGCCAGGCGCGCCATCCTGCGGAGCTGGTTCCCGTGCGCGGGGCTGTAGCGCCCAGGACTGCCCGGGCCCGGCTTTCCGGGGTTGCTCCCAGCTGCACTGTTTCTCCCCGGACTGTAGCTGTGAGGGCCACTGAGATCTGGCAGCCGAGACTTGAACTTTCCTTTCACCGCGGGACTGGGCCAACTGCGGAAAGCAAGAAAGAACTGTTAGCAGACGGGCAGGCCGGGAGATGAACAGCGAGAGAGTGGGAAAATAATGGCCCAGGACTCAGGCACACGCGCCTGGGCAAAGAGGCACTGCTGAACCCTGGCACCGTGGGCACACACACCCGGGCAGAGAGGCACTGCTGAACCCTGGCACCGTGGGCACACACGCTCGTGGGAGGAGAGGCACTGCTGAACCCTGGCACCACGGGCACACGCACCCGGGCAGAGGAGAGGCACTGCTGAACCCTGGCACGGCGGGCACACGCGCCCAGGCAGAGAGGCACTGCTGAACCCTGGCACCGCGGGCACCTGCGCCCGGGCGGAGAAGAGGCACTGCTAAACCCTGGCACCGACTGGGAGAGTCAAGCTCATGGGGGTTTCCAGGAGAATCCTGTGTGATCTGAGTAGAAACCCTGCTGCTTCCACCCCTCTAGCCCTCAGCTTGTCAGCAGCTGACCCGTTCGGCTTTTCCACCCAACTGGAGATCTGTCCTGTGTGCAGAGAGCCACAACACCCAAACCCACAGCCTGGCTGACGGGCCTGCCAGCGTTAGGAAGAGCTACTGGTACTTCCGCATGAACTGGAACTGGACCCTGCAGAAGCCAGCTTCCAACAGCTGCCCTGTGGATAACAGGCTGTCCGGGCCCCACGTACCTCTGTCTGTCCGAGGGTGAGTAGCACAGGACAGCAGTCTTCCATCTGTGCACGGCTGGGAACTGATGGGGGTCGACATCTGCACACTGAAGAGCAGCCAAAACATCCTGATCGAGTTTTGACGGCTCCTCTCTAGAAACCACAATACAAGAAGCAAAAACATCTTTGGTAAAAACATGAAGACCTCTAAAATAGCACTACTTTTTTTTTTTATTTTGAGACGGAGTCTCGCTCTGTTGCCCAGGCTGGAGTGCAGTGGTGCCATCTCAGCTCACTGCAAGCTCCGCCTCCCGGATTTACACCATTCTCTGCCTCAGCCTCCCAAGTAATTGGGACTACAGGCGCCCGCCACCACCCTCGGCTAATTTTTTGTATTTTTAGTAGAGATAGAGGTTCGCCATCTTGGCCAGGCTGGTCTTGAACTCCTGACCTCGTGATCCACCCACTACGGCCTCCTAAAGTGCTGGGATTACAGGCTTCAGCCACCGCGCCCGGCCTACACCCACTGTTAAAATGCAGTTTTGCATATTTGCACCCTCAGTGCTCAGTACCAGAAGGTTAGGGACATTTATCCCGTTAGACTGAGACTGCCCCCAAGATGGCTTTTCTTCCTAAAAGAATTTAATTCTTAGAAGAGATCATTCACACCAGTGGCAGGCACATCCCTAGCAAATAACAGCAAACACTAGGATCACCCACAGTCCAACCAGAAGACGACCCAGAAAGAATGTCTAGAAGCTAGACTCAGACAGGAACTGAAAGCACATGGCGAGTCCACACGAAAGCTTGTGTGGGGGTCGGCGCGGTGGCTCCCGCCTGTAATCCCAGCACTTTGGGAGGCCGAGGCAGGTGGATCGCAGGGTCAGGAGTTCGAGACCAGCCTGGCCAACATGGCGAAACCCCGTCTCTACTAAAAATAGAAAAATCAGGCCGGGCGCGGTGGCTCAAGCCTTTTGGGAGGCCGAGATGGGCGGATCACGAGGTCAGGAGATCGAGACCATCCTGGCTAACACAGTGAAACCCCGTCTCTACTAAAAAAATACAAAAAACTAGCCGGGCGAAGTGGCGGGCGCCTGTAGTCCCCGCTACTCAGGAGGCTGAGGCAGGAGAATGGCGTAAACCCGGGAGGCGGAGCTTGCAGTGAGCCGAGATGCGGCCACTGCACTCCAGCCTGGGCGACAGAGTGAGACTCCGTCTCAAGAAAAAAAAGAAAAATCAGCCAGGCGCGGTGGCAGGCACCTGTAGTCCCAGCTACTCGGGAGGCTGAGGCAGGAGAATCACTTGAACCCGGGAGGTGGAGGTTACAGTGAACTGATATCACGCCACCGCACTCCAGCCTGGGCGACACAGCGAGACTCCATCTCAAAAACAGAAAGCAAGCAAGCATGAGTGGGAAAGGAGCAGGTTCGGAAACAGCACCGCAGGCGTGCACAGGGCAACACAAGCCTACCCAAAAAGGAAAAGCCGTCTGGCCGATTCCCTCGTGTCCTCCAGCTGACCCTCGTGCCCGGGGCTGCTGGGACTCAAGGACATTTTAGCGATCCTGGCTGACACTTCACTTTCTGTCCTCCTGCGGCCAGTCCCGAGTTGGTCTGCGGGAGAAGGAGGCTCTAACAAGTCTCTTTCTACTGCATCGATTCTTGAAGTCAGGATCTTATCTTTAGTTTTCGTATTTTCATCTGGTGTCTTAGAAACGCTACTTCCTACATTTTGCAAATTCAGTTTATCAAACTCAACAGTCAAATCGGAGACAGGTGGCAGATGGGCTTCCTCCCCACGGGGCGCCTTTGGTCTCTTGCCCACCAGGGTCCTGCTGTGACTCAGAGGATGGCAGAGCCCATTTCTGCTGCTGTGTGGACCGCCTGGCTCGGCGGCTTCTATGAGGTCTGCCTCCTGCTCCAAGGGGAAGATGCTGCACCTCGCATATCCGAAAGCACCAACTGTGGGCGGGCTGTTATTTCGAGCTGCATTTTGCCGATTTTTTATTTCTTCCAAGCTCATGTCATCTTCATCTAGAAACGCCCTCACAGAAATGGAGTTGCTGCCTGTGAGGAGGACAAGGAGCACTTCAGTGACAGGAATGACAGAAAGCCATGGAGCTGCTCCGCTCCGTCCGTGACCAACCGCCATGACCCCAGCAACCGCAACTCTTACATTCAAATCCTACTCATCAGATTTCACAATGGAAAACCACCCACACAACTCCCTGGAAAAGGGCAAACACGACCCTGCAGATGCAATCAGGCTGCTGGGCCAGGCGCGGAAGCTCACACCTGCGATCCCGGCATTCTGGGAGGCCACGGCAGGGGGGTCGCCGGACCCCAGGAGTTCAAGACTGCCTGGGCAACATAGCGAAACCCCATTCTCTACAGAAAAATTAGCTGCCATGGTGGCACTCACCTGTAGTCTCAGCTATTTGGGAGGCTCGAGTGGGAGGATCGCTTGAGCCCAGGAGGTGGAGGCTGCAGTGGGCTGTGATGCCCCAGCCTGTGCCACAGAGTGAGACCCTACTTCAGGGAAGGAGGAAAAAAAAAAAGCTGCCAGGCTGACTTCTTTTCTTTCAAAGGAAGGGAAATGAAAGGCCAAGGGCCGCCCAGGTGATGGGTGAGATGACAGCCCTGCACCCCCAGCTGCCCTCCAGTCCTCACTCCAGCTCTGATCTACTGCAACCCCAGGGGCTCCGAGTGTCACAGAGCCCCACAGGATCCCAGAAGATTGTCCAGAACAACTCCGTGAAGGAGCACTGCTGCGCGTTAGCTGTGCAGACAACACAGAAGAGCTCCTGGGCGCAGCCCTGTCCGACAGGCAACAGAAATGTCCCATTTGGTGTTCACGATGACGACCCTGGCCACAAGGGGGTCCAGAACACTTGAGCTGTGGCTCGTGCTCCTTAGGAAATGAGTCAACTTTATGTAATAGTTATTAATTAAAATGTACATAGTCACAAGACAACACAGGAAGTGAGGCCACTTCATAGAAGGGAGTTCTGTGCCACCGTCAGCTACAGCACAGCAAGGTCAGATTTCAGTGCTTCCCGTATAACCACTGCACTGACTTCTCTCTAGTTCTACGGTTGAGAGTCACAGGCGACTTTCCAAGATTCATTGCTTCTTAGTTTAATGTATGTCAGTCATTTTCATTTTCTTTCTATCATTCCAGGGAGTTTGTTTTATAAATGAAGTGTCTTGTGGGCTCATGGCTCTATTCTGACCTTACACATTCACACTCACACACACTCACACACACACTCACACTCACACACACTCTCACACTCTCACACACACACTCTCTCACACACACACACACTCTCTCACACACACACACTCACACTTATGCACACACACACAGTTTAAACTGTATATCTGCTTTTTTAGCAGATTCAAATCTCTAGTTATTAGTAAATTTGTTTTTTTTAAAAAATACAGACGGAATCTCACTATGTTGCTCAGGCTGCTTTCGAACTCCTGGGCTTCAGCAATCCACCCACCTCGGCCTCCCAAAGTGCTGGGATTACAGGCGTGAGCCGCCGCACCTGGCCATCATTGATGTTTTTATGAATCACTTTTAGATTTTGTGTAGATTAACCTCTTCCATCATGATCTTTCCATTCACTGCATCCGTGCTTTGGAAGCACTTTGCATCCCGGTGTCTGAAATGCACCGCGTGAAGCGCTTTGCGTCCCGGTGTCTGATATGCACCGCGTCAAGCGCTTTGCGTCCCGGTGTCTGATATGCACCGCGTGAAGCGCTTTGCGTCCCGGTGTCTGATACGCACCGCGTGAAGCGCTTTGCGTCCCGGTGTCTGATATGCACCGGTATTCTGGTGTGCACTCCTCTTTGTCTTTTTCCTGAAAATATGCCAAATCTAAAATATCATAGTCTCAGCCAGTGGAGTTCAGCTATTATGAGTTTTGAGAAAATGGCACAGAATGAAACATATTAGATTTTGGGTAATGAAAAAACAAGCAGAAATAGCAATACTGCTGAAAGCGATGTCATTATTTTTCAAATATCCTCCCCAACACACACCTCATTTAACATTAACCTTCCCAGCACTCTGGGAGGCCGAGGTCAGGAGTTCAAGACCAGCCTGGTCAATATGGTGAAACCTCGTCTCTACTAAAACAAAATACGAAAATTAGCCGGGTGTGGTGGCGGGCACCTATAGTCCCAGCTACTCAGGAGGCTGAAGCAGAAGAATCGCTTGAACCCAGGAGGCAGAGGTGGCAGTGAGCCAAGATTGTGCCACCGTACTCCAGCCTCAGTGACAAAGCAAGATTCTGTCTCAAAAAACATTAACCTAAAGGAAAGTACCAGACAGACCTCTACATTAAAAACACCGACAGAAATGAGAAACAGATGTGTGTATCCTGTCAGACCCCGGCCACGGGGGGCCCGTCCCAGCTGCCATGGCCACGTCTGCACGTGTTTAGACCCCGGCCACAAGGGGACCCGTCCCAGCTGCCATGGCCACGCCTGCAGGTGCTTACCAGACATGGTGGCTTTATCTCCGCAGGAGGCTTCCCTTTCTCCTGTTTCTTGTTGAGCCTTTTTGCCTATTTCCTGCTGTGTGAGATATTCTTCTAGTCTTTGCAGGCCTTCCTGGGAAGACAGATCAACAAAACAGCCCAGAAATTCCCAGTATTCAACCCAGGGATACCCCAGCTCATGAGCTAGCTCTCTGTAAGAAATAAAACACAATTAACCAGTTACGACAACAGAAAAAATACTCAGAACTACACAGAAAAAAGCCACTAAAGCTTCAAGTACCAGAGCAATGTCTGCAATCATGGCTATAATTTTACTTTATCCTTAACTGGCGGCTAAAATCACACTTCGCATTTTCTGAAACCACACTCCTCCTCACAGGGTAAGCAGGACCCGGCAGAGCTCTCATGAGCTGTGAACCGGCCACGGGAAGGAAGGAGGCCTCAGCCCGACAGACCCTCACGCCAGCAACCCAGGCCACACAGTTCAACTCCCACAGACGGACGTGTTCGTGGTCATGGAACAGCCCTGTGGACTTGCCCACGGCTCTAGTCACGGCCACACACGGAAGCCTGGAGGTCCTTTCTGGCTCCACTTGTACACCTGACAACGGGCACGTATTTTGCAAAAATAGTCTAAACAATACCACGAAGCTTTATTTGATTACAACACAATTTAGCTTTGTGGCTGTGCACTTCTTTTCCTCAAGGAATCCACACCATTATGCGGTACCTTCTATAAAGTATTAAGGCTCCTTAGAAACATGTCCCAGAATCAATAAAGAACTCCAACTAGAAAAGGAAAGAACGCACTGCAGACATCCCCCAGGTGTGGGATGGAACTGGCTTAAGCTAGAATTCTGCAACAACTGCAGCGTGTCCAACATCCACAAGGAATTAGACCTTCCTGAAAAGAACCAAGTCTCCCAGTAAAGGCTTCCTGGGAATTGGTACTTAGAAGCTGTGATTTGATTTTCCGTCGTTAATGAAAACACGACCAACTGCGTGCCCCATGGTGCCACGGCTCAGCCTTTCAGTACCTTCCCACTCTCTCAAAGCCTCTTTCTGGGTCTGATTTCTTGACGTGGTGAAGGAAGCCTGCTTTCTCTCGAGGGGGAGTTTTCCAGAGTTTGCGAAAATCTTCTGCCTATGAAGAAAAAAAAAATGTATTGAGCTGTGCCAGGCACCACGCCCCTCAGCCGCAGAAACCTGAAGAACCATTTGAGCCGTGCCAGGCACCGTGCCCCTCAGCTGGGGAAATCGCAGCAGCTGCCTGTCTCCTGACGCCCCTCCACTAGCAGATCCCTGGGCCACATGCCCACCTGTGGCATGGCTGAGTGGCCGCATGGCTGCACTCTGACCTGGGGGAGGGGAGGCGATCTCCTTTCTTGCAGCCCAGGGCTGTGAGGTTCAGAACCAGGAGGGCCCGAGCATGAGGCCTCACCCTGAGGACAGCAGACGGCCTGGAGCTGCCACACCGACACGCATCTCACACTGCTCCCATCGCAGGAGAAGAAACCAGCATTGATCTTTCTTAGTCACTCTTCCTAGGGCTTTATGCTTTATGGATCTGACCTAATCCTACCTGATACCACCTAATTTTGGAGCCATTTTCTTTTTTTTTCTTTTGAGACAGAGTCTCGCTCTGTTGCCCAGGCTGGAGGGCAGTGGTGTGATCTCGGCTCGCTGCAAGCTCCGCCTCCCGGGTTCCCGCCATTCTCCTGCCTCAGCCTCCTGAGTAGCTGGGACCACAGGCGCCCACCACCATGCCTGGCTAACGTTTTGTATTTTTTAGTAGAGACGGGGTTTCACTGTGTTAGCCAGGATGGTCTCCATCTCCTGACCTCGTGGTCTGCCCACCTCGGCCTCCCAAAGTGCTGGGATTACAGGCGTGAGCCACCGCGCCCGGCCTGGAGCCATTTTCATCATAACTTATTTAGAAAGTTTTCCGAACAGGATTATATGTACAAGTCAGTATGTGAAATATTTCAATAGGAGAAAGAATTGAATTGTCAATTATAAATAAAAAAATGTGTACAACCTTTGGCCCACCAACACCATCATCAAGGATTTCTCTGAACATCGGGGATGAACCCGGGGGCTGAGGCTTCCAGGAGAGGGACTGGCCTGGAGCATTTCGTCTGAGAGGAAGCCAGTGGGGGCTGCAGCCGTGGGGAAACGTGGTCAGGTGGACGTGCAGATGGAGCTTTCCTAGTCACAATGGGCAGCCTCGCTACACCAGCAAGGTGCCCTGAGATGGGCCGTCGACACAGAAAGAACAGGGTGACGCGCGCACAGGACGCGGCTGGCCCAGGGAATATCTGCTTTGTTGAGACGTGTGGCTCCCAGCACATCGGCCCTGGTGAGCAAGCCACAGAGCCAAGAACACACATTTCTCTGGCCAGTGTTCTCACCACCACTCACTGGTGGATGGTTTGAGATGAGGACAACCCTGGGGCTCCACAGGACATGGCCCCTGAGACTACGCACAAGGCAACAGGCTGGAACACTCAGAACTGCAGTATAGGGACAGCCAGGCACCGCTTCCAGAAGCTTCTACAGCAGCTCACCTTGGCCGGACTCAGGGGCCCCGCGAAGGCTCTCAGGGTCAGCACTGGGTCTCTGGGGCTGCCTCCATGGCGGCTGACGTGAGAGGCCTCGGCCGTCTGGTCTGGGGACCACAGCTCCCCAATGACTGGAGAAGAAGTGTCTTCTGCTCTCAGGAGAGGCACGTAGTAGTGACCTGAGGGAAGAGACAAGCACTGGCTGCAGGCTTCTGCCCCCTCCGCAGGTCAGGTCTGGGTGATCAGCACGGGGGGTCACACAAGCCCTTGCCAAGGCCTCTGCAAATGGATCCAACGGACAGGGCAGAGGCTGGTTTGCGCCAGAGCTCCCTTCACTTAATGCAAATGGATGCAATGGAAACAAAGTCACACGAGGTCTCAGAGCTCACTTCACTTAACCAGCCTCACTTTCCTCCACTGCTACAAGAAAGAAAAGGAAGCCCCAGGTAGTTAAAGGACTGAGGGGTCAGACCTGAGTGAATAAGATTAGCACACAATAGGCGCTTAATACATTTTAAAAATAAGTTATATTTCATTCCAGCCAGGTGCGGTGGCTCACGCCTATAATCCCAGCACTTTGGGAGGCTGAGGTGCACGGATCACTTGAGGTCAGGAGTTCAAGACCAGCCTGGCCAACATGATGAAACCCCATCTCTACTAAAAATACAAAAATTAGCTGGGTGTGGTGGCACACACCTGTAATTCCAGCTACTCAGGAGGCAGAGACAAGAGAATCACTTGAACTCAGGAGGTAGAAGCTGCAGTGAGCCGAGATCACGCCACTGCATACCAGCCTGAGCGACAGAGTGAGAATCTGTTCCAAAAAACAAAAAAAAGTTTTATTTTATTCCTTCTCTCCTTTTTTCCCCTTAGTTTCAGAGAGTCTCACTCCGTCACCCAGGCAGGAGTGCTGTGGTATGATCATGGCTTACGCAGCCTCCAACTCCCAGGCTCAAGTGATCCTCCCACCTCATACTCTTGAGTGGCTGGGACGACAGGCGCCACCACACCTGGCTAATCTTTTACTTTTTGTAGAGATGGGGTCTTGCTCTGTTGCCCAGGCTGGTCTCGAATGCCTGGATGCAAGCGATCATCCCACCTCCACCTCCAAAAGTTCTGGGATTACAGGTGTGGGCCGCTGTGCCCGGCCTCCCCGCTTCTCAATTCTGCCTCTGTGGTATTTTATCACAGGTGTGGGCCGCCGTGCCCGGCCTCCCCGCTTCTCAATTCTGCCTCTGTGGTATTTTATCACAGGTGTGGGCCTGGGAAGGCCTGATGACAGGCTGGTATCACAAGGTTCAGAGATTCTAAGAACCAATCCTGGCTAACACGTGTGAAAACCCCCCGTCTCTTACTTAAAAAATTACAAAATCTAGCCGTGGCGAGGTTGGCATGTGCGCCTGTTAGTCCCAGCTACTGGGTGAGGCTGCACGGCATGGGAGAAGGCGTTAAACCCTGTGGAGGCCGCGAGCTTGCAGTGAGCTGAAGATCCCGGCCACTGCACTCCAGCTCTGGTGACAGATGGTGAAGACTCTCCGCCTCAAAAAAAAAAAACCAAAAAAAAAAAAAAAAAATAAAAGAATTGAGAAGTCGAGGAGGGCCGGGCCGTGCGGCCCACAACCTTGTGGATAAATACTCACAAGAGGCCAGAATTGAGAAGCGATGGAGGCACCGGGCATGGCGGGGCCTCACAAACCTGTGGATAAATTACCACAGAGGCAGAAATGAGAAGCGAAGAGGCCGGGCCGGGGCTGGCCCATCACCTGTGATGAAAAATTACCAACATGAAGGGCCCAGAATTTGAGAAGCGGTGAGCCCTGGGCAACGGCGGCCCACACCTGTGATATCATAAATACCAAACAGACAGGGCAAAGAAATTTGAGAAGCGAGGAGGCGGGATGCTGTGTGGTGGCCATCATCATGTGAATATAAATACCAACAGAAGGCATGAATTGATGATAAGCGGGGCGAGGCCCGGGCAACGGCGGGCC